CCTCCTAGGCATTAAATGGATTCTCCTCTGACCACTAAAAAAGAACTAACCCTGAAGAAACCTATATTTTAGACTTTTGAACTCCAGACAGGTGAGAGAACAAATGTGTATTGTTTTAAGCTATGAAGTTTATGGTAATTTGTTATGTCAGCTCTAAGAAACTAATACACTTCCAAAGAGCCACACACTCAGAGCAATGATATTATTTATTGCTTCACCGTAATGTTTACAAATCTAAAACACAAAGGATCCAGGTATTTTAATTGTACTCCTGGTATAGCACTATAGGATCAGCATTGGGTTGTGAACCACAAGTTTGGCAGCTCAAACCCACCAGATGCTCCTCGGAAACCCTATACAGGGTCGCTATCTGTCCGAAACAACACAATGGCATTTAATGACAACAACAACAACAACAACACTATCTGAGTTAGATAATTATTGTATCTTTTCAAGAATTCCTGAAGTACTTCTGTCAGCAGTAGCAGAGGATATTCCAGATCCCTAAATTGCACAAATGTTTTCTTTAAGCAAAGAAGAGTCCTGGAACCACAGATCTGTTGGAAGTGACACTAAATGATTGCTTGGCCAAAATTCCAGGAAGAAAAGTAACTGGTCCACAGCTTCACCACCTGTGACAACATGTGCCTACTTTCCTCATTTATAAAACAGAGACTGTAATGTCATGTCAGACCTAGAATATTAAGGAGTTGAGTAACAGAAAGCACCATGAGAGAAAACAATGATATGGAAAAGATCACTTTGTAGAATTTCTCTACAAGCGCTAGGAAATTTATTATGCCAACCCAGATAGGGGAAGGAAGCTAACGTTTATTTCGCTTCTTCTAAACATCAGGGATAGAGACTAGTACAAAGAGAGAATTCACCATTACCCTACTGTTACTTTACATTCTGAACACCTTGCCTAAACACATCTATTACATAAATATACTTATAAAGTACTCACATTTTCACTCACTGTAGTGGCTTTAGATGTAGAGCCATTGTTCCTGTTTGTCAAACATAAAAGGCAACATTTAATAGATTATCACTTTCAATTCGGAAACACATATCCGCTTTCAGTAATGTTACCCTCATACATTGCAGCAGGAAGACAAACATTTATCTTAGCTAGGCAGAATATAAGCCAGCAATCCTCATCACATTTCTTGATAGAGAAAACCATGCATGAAACCCTCGCTGTCCCACCCCCACCATGAATCTATATGTAATTAAAAACCAGTCAGTTTTCAAAATTATTAACATTTTGAATGCTTGATTTTAAGTTAATTATTATTATCTCAAAATTCCATTTTTCCATGATAAGAAAGTTTTATTTGGTGGGTAGGATTCCAGTCTTCAGGTGATTGTTTTGAGGGTTGTAGATTTGAAGACTAGGAGGATCTGTATTAGGGTTAAAGATATTGCATCCCAGATTATTGCCTACGTTGGCAGACACTGTTACTGAGGAAAAATAATTCTCTTACCTCAACAATGCCAATTTTCCCGCCATGTAAGATGAAGTCTCTTTCTGCTCAAAACTCTCCAAAGAATGTTCATTTTACTCAAATATGTGACAGTTCTCACAAGTGCCAAGAGGAGGGAAGCTACACAATTAGGCCTGGTAGCATAGTTGTTATAAATCGGGCTATGAACCTTAAGGTCAGAAGTTTGAAACTACCAGCTGTTCCGCCGGAAAAAGATGAGGCTTTCTGCTCCCGTAAATATTTACAGCCTTGGAAACCCTGTGCAGGGTCACTATGAGTTGGAACCGACTCCATGGCATATAACCACCACCATTTTTCTGAAATCACCCCATTTTGCTACTGCAAATCCTGACAACTTGAATTTCCTTTTAGAAATGTCTATGAAGTGAGATCAGAAGCATTTCTCCTTTAGGGAATCAAACATTATTTACAAGTAGATCTGAGACATGATTTGTGATGTATTTCTAAATGAACTTAAGAAACTTAAAAATAGAATTAACTGTATACAAATAACCAAACATCACACAATATGCATTAGACAAATGATTAATAGGAAATTAGTTGTAGTACGAAAAAGGCATGCATTTTAAGAAAAGTATACTTACTGAAAGGTGGTTTCTTCTACGAAAGAGTAAGTAGACATGATTAATGCAAGGGTTGATACAGCATGATAGAAATTCATATAAAAATGATCTATAGCTTAATTTTTTTCTGAATATCAATCCTCATTTGCTATCTGTACTTTCTAAGTAACTCATGGGTTGGTAAACTTTTTCTGTGATGATCCACACATATTAGGCTTTGCAGGCCAAGAGGCAAATATCAAAGACATTACACTGGTTGTTATAAAAACTAACATATGAAACTTTTTATAGGGGAAATAAAAAATATAACAGTCATCATTGAAGTTTTCTAATATAGGTCTACTAATGAAAACAATGGAATTCATTTTGGGGGGCTTTTTTTCTGAATTGGAGTTCAAAGTTAAATGTTCCTGGTATGAAGCCATAGGATAAGCACTGGGCTGCAAGGTTGGTTTGAAACACAAGGTCGGCGGTTCAAATTCACCAGCCGCTCCTGGAAACGCTATACAGGGTCGCTATGAGTCAGAACTGACTCGATTGCATTTAACAACAACAATCATTGATTAAACTGAAAATGCTCATTTGTAAAAACCATCCTTAGCTTATAGGTTATAGAAAAATACGCAATAAGCCAGGTTTGCCTTACAGACCACAGTTGACTACCTCTGTTCTAAATGTAAATTCAAAAAAAATGTTCTTCTTACATAGTTTTCCTGATAAATGAAAACAGAAGCATTATTAGCAAGTGATCTCCTAATATCTAAGCCAACTCTTTAATTAATTCAGTATTTTAAGTAAAGTATGTTTACTGGATCCTCAATAAATATACTATGACAGGTATTCTTTTAAAGTATATAAAGATGACATGAATTTGTAGCGTATCATCTCTGTCTGTACTTCCACTAGTGTCCAGCAGGGGATGCAACAGAATTCAATTAGAAAAATCACATTACACAGGACTACATTGGAGCACTGTATACAAGAACAATGATAATTTATAGATTATTCTTAATTAGATTCTTTATTATAGGATATTTTCTTGAAAATTTGTTCATGGAAATATTTTATGACACATACTTATGTATATATTATATGTTGTTATTGTTAAATGCCATGGAGTCGGTTCTGACTCATCGCAAACCTGTATAGGATTTCCAAGGAGATGCTGGTGGGTTTGAATTGCTGACCTTGTAGTTTACAGTCCAATGCTGATCCTACAGCGCCACACCAGGAATCTATATATTATGCACATGACATTTTATAGATATTTTTGTTGTTGTTACGTGTTGTTGAGACATTTCTAACTCATAACAACCCTGTATAGGGTTTCTGAGGAATGGCTGGTAGGTTTGAACCGCTGACTTTGTGGTTAGCAGTCCAATGTTTATCCAACAGCAACACTAGGACTAGAAACCTTTTAAACTTGTTGTATTTTGGTATAAAATATTTTAAAACTAAAATTCAAAATTAATGTTCGCTCCACATTATTTAACAAAAACAACAACATATATGAGTCTTATTGTTTCCTATGGAGTCCTGGTGTGGCACTGTGGGTTAATGCACTGGACTGCAAGGTCAATTTGAACTGCAAGGTTGGGGGTTCAAGCTCTCACCTGCCACTCCTATGAAACCCTATACAGGGTTGCTAAGGGTTGGAACCCACTCGACGGTACTTAATAACAACAACAACATGGACTTTAAACCTATTCATACTATAAAGTTATTATTCCATTAAAAATGCTACTTTATATGCTGATGCCACTGGAATAGGTAAGAGTTCTGCACTTTTGAGTTCTCATAATTTTAAAGAGTAGGAGTGCAGGGATGCACTAAGATAATACAGTAGATTATTGTAAAGTCTCACACATTGACATCAAACCTACTATATCACTAGATGGGGATTTAGAGTCAAAAGAGCTCGAAACTTGAAAATATAAAATCCTTGTTCAGAGGCATTTGGTTTAGCTTTTCTTGAACAATTCTCTTTTAAGTACAGTTGTGCTAAATTTGCATTCAACATTTCACTGTTCTCCATTGAGAAAACTTTTCACTGATTTATTTTGATGAAATTTCTGGTTGTAAAACTAGAAAAAAAAATTTGTATTTAGTTCTACAATTCCTACCGTAAAAATACAAAGATCTTAATTACATGTATTAAACCAAAGTCAAATCTACTGCCATTAAGTCAGTTCTGACTCACAGTGACCCCATAGGACAGAGTATAATTGTTACATTAGGTTTGCCACACTGGCTCATCTTTCACCTACGGAGTGGCTATTGGGTTCGAACCATGGACTTTTTGGTTAGCAGCTCAACACTTAACTCCACGTTGCCACCAGAACTCCTTAACTACATATATCTATACTATAAATATCCAGCCATGTGGAAGTCCTCTCACAGTGTAGCTGTGCTCCAGGGCTTCCTCTCACATTTTCTGGGGTGTTCCCTGGCATTTTGCAAAGAGACAACTCTGCTTTTTCCCCCTGTACTTTCCAAGGTGCCACAGAAACCACCTGTTGGACAGATTCTAATGCAGAAAATGTTCTCCAGAGTTTGTTAGAACATCTTAGGAAAAGCAATGTCTAATAAGGAAATTATATTTCCATAAAAAGTTGTCTATCAAAGAAAGGTGAAATTCACTTACTTGAAAAGTAGCCTTTCCTCTGAGCATAGCACACACCAAGGCCGCAAACACAAATCACTAAGGCCACAACTACAACAGCTGCTATGATGCCACTTACATTAAGATCATCTGGAATGTGAAATAGGGCACACATAAATGGATGACAAATGGATGGATTCATACAGCTATTAAATTATTAAATTAAAAATGTTAAAAACAACAACAATAAACTGCCCTCTATGACTATATAGGGAAGTGTGAATATAGGGAAGTGTGATGGCTCTGTACAATAAGAAATGGACTGTAAATCACAAGGCTGATGGTTCAAGTCCACCACCCGCTCCATGGGAGAAAGATGAGGCTTTTGGCTCCTGTAAAGATGCACAGCCTCAGGAACCTTATACAGACAGGGTCACTATGAGTTGGAATTGACTTGACAGTATTTATAGTGATTTCAAACTTGTGTGGCACTGGACTGCAAGGTCATTTTAAATAGCAAGGTTGGCAATTCAAACTCACCAGCCGCTATTGTCTTGGGATAAAGAAAATAAGACATAATAGTAACATTAAAAGGCCTCAGGAGGTTTAATTTATTTTACTCCAGGGGATGACAGTTTAATGTCATGTGCATGTTCATGTACACGCACACACATAATTCAAAAAAGATGCTTCTGAGACTTGCTTTTACAGAATAACAGTGGCACAAGCTTTCTTTGAGGCTGAGTTTTCCATTTATAGAAACTGATGTAGCAGATACTATGTTGTTGTTATTTTTGTGTGCCATTGAGTTGGTCCATGGTACCTTTAACATTGTCCTCCAAAACCATAACTCCAATGCATCAATTCTTCTATTCCTTCCTTATTTAGTGTCCAACTTTACCATATATATGAGTCTACTGAAAATTCTATGGCTTGGGTCAGGCCTCAATCTGACATCTTTGCTCTTGAACACTTTAAAGAGGTCTTGTACGGCAGATTTGCCTAATGCAACACGTTTGATTTCTTGACTGATGCTTCCACGAGTGTTGATGGTTTATCTGAGCACAATGAAGTCTTTTACAACTTCAAACCTTTCTCCATTTATCTTGATGTTACTAACTGGTGCAGTGGTGAGGATTTTTGTTTTCTGTAAAACCCATACCAAAGGCTGTGCCCTTTGAGTTTCATTACTAATTGTTTTAAGTCCTCTTCCCTTTCAGCAAGCAAGGTTGTGTCATCTGTATATCGAAGGTTGCCAATGAGTCTTCCTCCAATTCTAATGCCACATTCTTATTCATATAATTAAGCTTCCCTAATTATTTGCTCAGAATACAGATTAAAGAATACAACCCTGGCGAACACCTTTTTTAATTTTGAACCATTCAGTTTCCTTGTTCTGTTCAAATGACTGCCTCCTGATCTATATACAGGTTCCACATGAGCACGACTATACTCATTCTCCACAGTGCTGTCTAGCTTATCATCATGCACACAGTCAAAATTCTTTGCATAGTAAATAAAGCACAAGTAATCATCTTTCTGAAATTGCCTGCTATATGATCTACATGACATCAGCAAAGATAACCCTCATTCAACATCCTCATTTGAATCTAGCTCAAAATTCTGGCAGTTCCTGTCAACGTACTGTTGCAGCTGTTTTTGAATTATGTTTAGCAAAATTTTACTTGCAAAAGATAATGATTTTAAGCAATGATTTCCACATTCTGTTGGGTCTCGTCTCTTTGGAATGAGCACAAATATGGATTTCTTCCAATTAGTCAGTCAGCTAGCTGTCTTCCAAATTTCTTGGCATAGATAAGTAAGTGCCTCTAGTGCTGCATCAGTTTGTTGAAATATTCAATTTGTAGCCCATGAATTCCCAAAGCCTTGTTCTTTGCCAATGCTATCAGTGAACCTTGGACTTCTTCCTTTGGCATCATTGGCTATTGATCATATGGTACCTCTTGAAATCGTTGAATACCGACCATTTCTTATTGGTACAATGACTTCATGTATTCCTTCTATCTTGAAGGACCCTGCTCCTGATCGATAAAATGGCACTGTAGCTACCCTAAGTGGCGCCGAATAAAGTCCTGCTTAAGCTTCGGTTTCTTGAAAGCTTAAGTCTTTATTACACCCAGAGACCCTCCCCCCAGTAGTTTCAGGTTTCAGGAACATCTCCATAACTCCAGCCATTGGAAGTCCACCAAAACTGTACCCCGCACGCCTTAAATATGCCAGTCTGTAAGGGACGGGTGGCCTCTTTGTTTTTCTTGACTTTGAGTTCCCCCTCCCAGGTTTACTCTCAATAAACCTGCCTGATGTTGAAGCCACATTTCTCTCCTCGTCTCTTTCTTTCTTATTTCTTCTTTTGATGCTTTCTGCATTATTCAATATTTTGCCCACAGAATCCTTCAAGAGTGCAAATCGAGGCTTGACTTGTTTCTTTAGTTCTTTCAGCTTGAGAAATGCTAAGCATATTCTTCCCTTTTAGCTTTCTTATTCCAGGTCTTCACACATTTCATTATAATATCCACTTTGTTTTATTCAGTGTCTTTTTAAAAAGTTTTTATTGTGAATTGAGTGATAGTTTACATGGGAGAACATCGGTTTTACACTAATAGTTTCATTGCAATGATTACAATCCCTTCCGTGAATCATCATTCAACAATATCTGTGGATATTCCCTCTGTTTTTGTTTGTTTGTTTTTTGGGGGGATGTACACAAAAATACTCAGGGATATAATAATTTAAACAACCAAAGGGCACATTCTGCAAGCCTGCCTCCTGGCTGTCAGCACTTAGTCTTTCTCTTTCCATGAGTCTAGGGGTCCTCAGATGCTCTCTCTCTCCATGTCTTCATCTCTGCCTCCAACTCTGGTGTCACTGCCTCTTTGGATAGGGTCCTGCATTCCACATGTGTTCTTCTTCCTTGATGATCCTAAGGTTCTGTTTCTGGACTGTAAGATTAACTACTCTACCCTTTTTTTTTTTTAAAATAGAACTTCTACTTTTACAGTTGTGACAGTTACAATTAGTCATGATAACAATTACTCACTATTGAATCTAAGAATCATCCCCGTCTCTTTTCACCAGACCCGTCTAGACAAGATGTAAACTATTCAGTGGGGACTCTACCTTACCCCTCACATTCTGAAACTAAACTCCCTCTTGCAAACTTGTAAGTCAGTCACTTTGTATCCAGTGTTTTTTGATATTTTCTGTTTATTTATTTACTTTCTCACTTATTCCATTTGCTTTAGCATCTTGACATTGGAGAGCAAGTTTCAGAGTCTCTTTTGGCATTTGTTTTTGTTTTTTCCTTCTTTCTTGTCTTTTTAATGACCTTTTACTTTCTTCCTGTATGATGTTCTTGATATCATCTCAGAACTCTCTTGGTCTTCGGCCATTAGTGTCTATTTATCAAATCTGTTCTTCAGATGGTCTCTAAATTTAGGTGGGATATGTTTAAGGCTGTCATGGGATTGTTTTAATTTTCTTCAGCTTCAGCCTGTACTTGTATATGAGCAACTGATGGTCTGTTCCACAGTCCGCTCCTGGTCTTGTTTGGGCTGATGATATGGAGCTTTTCCACTGTCTCTTTCCACAGATGTAGTCAATTTGATTTCTGTGTATTGCATCTGGTGAGGTCCATGTGTATATTCATCTTTTATGTTGCTTAAAAAAAGGTAATTACAATGAAGAAGTCATTGGCCTTGCAAAATTCTATCTTGTAATTGCCAACATAGTTTCTATCATCAAGATCATTATTTCCCAACTACTGATACTTCCTCTTTGTTTCTGACCTTTTCATTCGAATCACCAGTAATTATCAATACATCTTGATTGCATGTTTGATTAATTTCATAATGAAAAAGTTGGTAGAATTCTTCAATTTTATCAACAATTTTAGTGATTAGTGAGTGAATTTGAATAATAACTTATTAACTGGTCTTTCTTGTAGGCGTATGGATATTATCCAATCACAGACAGTGTTTTACTTCAAGATAGAGCTTGAAATGTTCTTTTTGATGATGAATGCAACAACATTCCTATTCAATTTGTCATTCACGACATAGTAAACCATGTGATTGTCAGATTCAAAATGGCCAACAGAAGCCCATTTCAGCTCATTAATGCCTAGGATATCAGTATTTATGTGTTCCATTTTATTTTTGACAGCTTCTAATTTTCATAGATTCATACTTCATATATTCCATGTTCTGATTAATGGATGTTTACTCCTATTTCCTCTTATTTGATTTTACAGAAATGTGAAAATCATATTCAAATTAAAGTGGCACCACTGGAAAAACACAACCTTAAAATTCCAGTTAGATATTTATATCCTCCACCACTTGTTTGTCAGTTTGTCACACAGTGGTAGCTTGTGTTTTGCTATGACTCTGGAAGCTATGCAACTGGTGTTTTAAATACCGGCAGTGTCACTCAACGTGGACAGGTTTCAGTTGAACTTCCAGAATAAGACTGAACAGAAGGAGAGACAAACTACTTCTGAATATTTAGTACTGAAAATCTTAGTGAGATTTTCAGTGGGACAGTCAGCACCGAATATTCAATACTAAAACATGATGAAAACTAGAACATTGTCAGATATAGTGTCCTCAGATGAGCCCCTTAGGTTGGAAGACACTCAAAATATGACGGGGAAGAGTTGCCTCCTCAAAGCAGAGTTTACCGTGATGACTCAAATGGAGTAAAGCTTTTGTGACCTTCATTTGATGGTGGGGAACAACTCAAAATGAAGTGCAAGAGCTGTAAGAGCTGTAAACATCCATAATCAGAGCATGGAATGTACAAAGTATGAGTCTAGTAAAACTGGAAGTGGTTTTTACCAAGCATGGTGTCCTTATCCTGGAACTGGCTTCTCCTGATATGTCCGATGTATGAGAGACAAAGTCTGGTCATCCTGGCTTCTAAGGAACATTCTGGTTGTACTTCTTTCAACACAGATTTGTTTGTTCTTCTGACAGTCCATGGTACTGTTAATATTTTCCTCCAAAACCATGACTCAAATGTATCAATTCTATGATTTTCCTTATTCATACTCAACTTTCACATGTGTGTGAGGCTATTAAAAATATTGTGAGATTGGTGTAGGACTGGGTAGTGTTTTGCTCTATTGTGTATAAGATCACTATGGCTCAATACTAACTCAAAGGCACCTAACAACAATTTATATCCTAGTGTGGCATGGTAGGATAAGCACTGGACTGCTAACTGAGATGTTGGCAGTTCAAACCATCAATCTCTTCCCATAAACCCTACACAGGGTTGCTATGAGACAGAACTGACTTGATGGCATTTAACAACATTTATTCATTATATGTTAGAAAGAAAATTAACTAATACATCAAAACCATGACTTTACAGATAAAATGTTGTAAGGGGTTAAAGTAAGCATTTAAATTAAAAAATGTCAATTTTAAGGGGAAAAAAAAAAACACCCCAGCACCGGTGATACAAGGTTACGGCAAAATCCGTGAGGACAGTATGTGAATGAATGAAGTAAGAAATATATTTGATTAGTGTAATCATTTGAAACATGTGATTAATTTTTCTAATGAATTTTTTAAGTTATTTTGGTGAATTTTAATAATGATTAGCTCCAAAGAAGCACTGATAAGACTGTTTTCTGATAATCTAAACAACTGCTTATGTCTTGACTCTAAATATCAGTACTTGAAAGAGCTTTGGTGAAGAATATCAATGATATACATTCCTGAGTTTAAAACTAAAGATCTGAAATCTTAGGATACACTATTGAATATCTTATTACTTTGAAATATCTAGGCGTTTAACAAATAGTTTCTTTTAAGAAATGCTGGGTGTGATAATAAGTGTTGTTACATGCCAGCCAGTCAGTTCTGACTCATAGCGACCCTGTCCCTGCATTGGGTTTCTGAGGAGTGGCTGATGAGCTTGAACCCCAGTCCTTGTGGTTCAAACTGACTTTGCAGTCCAGCGCATTAACCCAGAGTGCCACAATGGGACTCCAAGCAGACAATGCAAATTAGTGCACCAAAATATGCACACATCCAAGGACTGAAAAATGAAATTCTAACCCTACAAAGCTGAGGACTAGCTCTTGAGCCATGGAAAGCCCTTGGTAGGTTGCTTCGGAGTACAGTCCTTCCAAAAGACTCCTTGTGTACTATCCCTAGTGCCTTCCTCTCTATTACATATCCATCTTTAAAATGTTTGGCTTTCACAGGAAGTGTGGTCATTCTGTAGGATAAGCACTCAATGAGATAGACTGACATAGTGGCTACAACAATGGGCTCAAACATATAAAAAAGTTTTATGGATGGTATAGGACTGGGCAGTTTTCATTTTATTGTATACAGGATTGCTATGAGTTGGAACTGACTTGTTGTTGTTGTTGTTGTTGTTAGGTGCCATCGAGTAGGTACTGACCCACAGAGACCTTATGCACAGCAGAACAAAACACTGCCTGATCCTGGGCCAACCTCACTATTGTTGCCACGCTTGAGTCCATCAATACTGCCACTTAGCTAATCCATCTCGTTGGGGGTCTTCCTCTTTTTCTCTTACCCTCCACATTACCAAACATGGTATCTTTCTTCAGAGACTGGTCTCTCCTGACAATATGCCCAAAGTATGAGAGACAAAGTTTGGCCATCCTGGCCTCCAAGGAGCACTCTGGCTGCACTTCTTCCAACACAGATTGTTTTGGTTTTTTTGGCAGCCCATGGCGCTTTCAATATTCTCCTCCAATACCATAACTCAAAAGCATCAATTCTTCTACGGTCTTCCTTATTCACTGTCCAGCTTTCGCATGCATATGAGGTTACTGAAAATACCATGGCTTGGGTCAGGCACACCTTAGTCCTCAAGCTGACATCTTTGCTTTTCAACACTTTAAAAAGGTCTTGTGTAGCAGATTTGCCTAATGCAATACATCATTTGAGTTCTTGACTGCTGCTTCCATGAGTGTTGATAGTTGATCCAAGAATGAAGTCCTTCACAACTTCAATATTTTACATTGATAAGAATGTTGTTTATTGGGATCCAGTGGTGAGGATTTTTGTTTTCTTTACATTGAGATGTAATCCATATCGAAGGCTGTGCTCTTTGATCTTCATTAAGTCCTCTTCACTTTCAGCAAACAAGGTTGATTCATCTACATATTGCAGGTTGTTAATAAGTCTTCCTCCAATCCTGATGCCACGTTTTTCTTCATACAACCCAGCTTCTCTGGAACTGACTAGATGGCACTTAACAGCAACAAACAAACTAATGCTTGTAAGTGACACATGGTGTGTCAATGCTACTTTAATACTTTTAATTATTGATAAATTTTTTAACAATCCTATGAGGACAATATATTACTACCTCTACCTTGGGGGAAACTAAGACACAGAAATTAAGTAACCTTCCCAAGAATATACAGTTAACAAGTGGCAGAGCTGGGTTTCAAACCTCACAATTAATACAAACTCCTTGCATATGAAAAAGTATGTCTGTGACTAAGGAACTCTATTCAGAGTTCTGATTCCTCATTTTATAGTTGAGGATGTTGAGGTAGCTACAGTATTTGCTGGAAGTCCTGCACACCTCAAAGTATTCAGGAGCCTGGTCTGATGCAGGGTGGCATCAAGATGGATTGTTCCAAGTCCTTTGTGGAGAGCTAGATCACCTCTGAGAAGTCCTCTGTAAAGAGGATATGTAGTTTACCTGCCCTGCTTACCTCACAGGGTGTTTGTGAGATCCCAATGAGATCATGCAGCTAAAGATAATGAAACACATGACAGTGTATTTCTTTCATTGTCGTGAACCCTCAAATCTCAGATATTAAAGTTTGTCTTTTATGAACTTCTTGACCTCAGAAACATGTATTGACTATAAGACTCTCAGCTTTTGCTTGAAAGAAATGTCTCAATAATTAGGGTGTCCAGCATAGCATATTTAAAAAAAAATTATTATTTGAATAAGTGAAAACAAAACAAAACAAAAAGCAAAAAACAAAGCTAAATACAAGGCTACGTATCCTTGGCTTGAGCTATGTATAGAACTATGTCCTTCCCCCAAAGTGTGAAAGTTCTAATCCTTGTTCCTTTGAATGTTATCCTGTTTGGAAATATGGGTTTTATTTTATTAATGAGGCCATATCAAAATACAGTGGGTTCTAAACCTAATCATTTCAAACTTGCATCTTATAAAAATAGAATAGATATAGACACACATGAAGGAAGACAGTTGTAACATGGGTACCTGTCAATAAGCAAAAGAATGTCATGGAAACACTGGCAGATACTAGAAACTAAGAGGGAGACCCACAGAAGAAAATGACATGGCCAAGACCCTGATTTGGACATTTATTCTGCATATCTGTAAGGAAATAGATTTCTGTTCTTTTAAGCTATCCACTGGTTGCATATTGTGTACTGGCTACAGTAGGTAACTAAGGTAGCTTGTTTGGAAGATGGGTTAAAGACTACATCTTTGTTCCTTTATAGTTCATTTTGTCAACTTAATTTTGAACATCCCCTCCTGTTCATCCTCCACATGACTCAGCCCTTTCTTACCCCATTCTCCCTCCATCACTCAATATGTACACAACCTAACTACAAACCATTTGCTCCTACCAGTATTTCATGCTTACCTACTTGCATTCGTTTCCCAGGACACCTGCCAGATCCAACAGAATTATGGGCTTCACAGGAATATTCTCCACTGTCCAATTTTGAAATAGTATTGAATTGCTATTTGTGGAGGGAAAATAAATAATTTTTGTGAAATTAAATAATGTTATAGGTAGATTCCCAATATAACCATGTTCCATGAATTACAGCATAACATTCATCTTTCCTTTTTAATGACTTAGGACTTTGTATCTTTATTGTGCTCTCAAAAATCCATCATAATCTTAAGGAATACATAACTAGGCCTCCTATTTCATTTGACAGAAACTTAAGTGTATATTAGCAGTTTCTGTTTTAGTGATACTGAGAAGGCAGTATATTTAAGTTTTTGTGTGCTGTGGAGTTGATTCTGATTTATAGTGACCTTAAAGGACAGAATAAGACTATCCCATAGGGTTTCCAAGGCTGTAATCTTTACAGAAGCAAATGGCCACATCTTTCTCCCAGGGAGCAGCTGGTGGTTTCAAATGACTGACCTTTCAGTTAGCAGCTGAGCAATTTTATCATGTGTCATCAGGGTGTCTTAATGGTTAGGTACACAGTATATACTCAAAAGAAAATTATAGTGCATTGTTATTGCTGTTCTTAGGTGCCCTGAGGTCGGTTCCAACTGATAGCATCCCCATATACAACAGAAAAAAACATTACCTGGTCCTGCACCATTTTCACAATCCTTGAGGTCCACTGTTGCAGTTACTGTGCTGACTCATCTCCTTGAGAATCTTCTTTTTCACTGACCTACTTTACTAAGCATGATGTCCTTCTCCAGAGACGTTTTCCAGACATGTCCAAAGTGTGTGAGACAAAGTCTCACCATCCTTCCTTCTAAGGAGCATTCTTCTGATCCAAATTTCTTCTTTCTTCCAGCAGTTGGTATAGTCTATATGACTATGGTATAGTCAATATTCTTCATCAGTATCATAATTCAAAAGCATCAATTCTTCTTCAGTATTCCTCGGTCATTACTCAGTTTTCACATGCTTAGGTTAGGTACACCTTAGTTCATAACGTGACATTTTTGCCTTTTACCACTTTGAAGAGGTCTTTTGTATGTAATCTGCCCAGTGCAATACATCCTTTGATTTTTTTTTTTTTTTGACTGCTGCTTCCATGGACATTGATTGTGAATTCAGATAAAATGAAATCCTTGAAAAGTTCAATATTTTCTCTGTTGATCACAGTGTCACTTATTTGTCCAGTTGTAAGGATTGCTGTTTTCTTTATTTGTGGTCTAATCCATACTGAAAGTTGAGTCTCTTCATCAGTGAGTTCTCCAAGTTCTCTTCATTCTCAACAAGCAAGGTTGTGTTATCTGTATATGGCAAATTGTTAAGGAATCTTCCTCTCATCTTGATGCTATGTTCTTCTTCATAAAGCACAGCTTCCTGATTTATTTGCTCAGCACATAGACTGAATTAGCATGGTGAAAGGATACAATCCCAACACACACCTTTCCTGATTTAAAGTTATGCAGTATCCCTTTATTTTGTTCAAGTGACTGCCTCTTGGTCTATATACAGGTTTCTCTTGAGCACACTGAAATGTTCTGGAGTTCTTCTTCTTTACAATGTTATCCATTATGATCCAAACATCAAATTTATTTAATAGTCAATGAATACAGGTAAACATTTCTCTTGTATTCTGTGCTTGTACCCAAGAGCCATCTGGTATCAGCAATGATCTCCTGCATTTCACATCCTCTCCTGAATTTAGCATGGATTGCTGGCAGTTTCCTGTGGATGTACTGCTGCAACTGCTTTTGAATTGTCTTCACCAAAATTTTAATTGTACAATAATACTTCTTTATAATTTTCATATTCTGTTGGGTCACATTTCTTTGGAATGAGCACAAATATGGATTTTTTTCAGTCAGTTGGTCATGTAGCTGTCTTCCAAATTTCTTGGCATAGATGGGTGAGTATTTCCAGTGCTACATCCATTTGTTTAAATATCTCAATTGATATTCCATTAATTCCAGAAGCCTAAATTTTTTGCCAGTGCCTTCAGGGTAGCTTAGACTTCTTACTTGAGTACCATAGGTTCTTGATTATATGTTACCTCCTGACATGGTTAAATGTCAACCAATTCTTTTTAGTACAGTGACTCTGTATATTCCTTCCATCTTCTTTTGATGCTTCCTGCATAGTTCATTATTTTGCAAACAAAATCTTTTCAATATTGCAATTTGAAGCTTGATTTTTTTTCTTCAGTTCTTTCAGCTTGTGAAATGCTGAGCATGTTCTTCCTCTTCATTTTCTAACTTTAGGTTTTGCATATTTCATTGTAATGCTTTGTCTTCTTGAGTCTCCTTTTGAAATCTTTATGTTCAGCTTTTTTTGCATCAATGTTTCATCTGTTTTCTTTAGCCATTCTACACACAAGAGCAAGTTTCAGAGTCTTTTCTGACATCCATTTTGGTCTTTTCTTTTTAATGACCTGCTTTCTTCATGTACGAAGTCCTACAACACCTCTCATCTTGAGTCATTCAAGTTCACTGTATCAAATCTATTGTTGAAAAGGTCGTTAAATTCAGGTGGGATATAATCAAGGTTATACTTTGGTTCTAATGGACTTATATATTAACTTTCTTCAGCTTCAACTTGAACCTGCATAGAAGCACTTGATGGCCTATTCTGCAGTTAGTTCCTGGCCTTTTTCTGATGGATGATACTGAGTTTTACCATTATCTCTCTCCAGACAGTGCATTTGATTCCTGCACACTCCATCCAAAGAGGTCCGTGTATATAGTCACTATTTTTGTTGTTGTAAAAAAGCATTTCCAATGAAAAAATCGTTGGTGTTTTGACATTCTATCATGCAATCTCCCATGTCATTTCTATCACCAATGCCATATTTTTTAACTGCTATCCTTCTTCTTTGCTTCCAACCTTCACATTCCAATCACCACTAATCATCAATGCATCTCGATTGCATGTTTGATAAATTTCAGACTGCAGAAGTTAGTAAAAAATCTTCAATTTCTTCATCTTTAGTATTAGTGGTTGATGCGAGAATTTGAATAACAGTAGTATGAACTGGTCTTTCTGTTATTTACATGAATATTATCCTATGACTGACAGCATTGTGTTGTTGTTGCTGTTAAGTATCACTGAGTTAGTTCCAACTCATAGCGACCCTGTATAGGGTTTCCAAGGAGCAGCTGGTGAGTTTGAACCATTGACCTTATGATTCAAGTTTTCCATGAAATGTTTAATGATATTTAATGTTCCAAGAGTCATAGTTTGTACATTTCACATTCTAATTATTAATGGATATTTGCAGCTGTTTTTTCTAATTTTAAGTCATGCCACATAAGCAAATAAAGATTTCAAAAGTTTTTCTTCAACCACATCATGAAGTTCAATTCTACTTTGAGGAGGCAGCTCTTCCCCAGTTCTATTTTGAATGCCTTTCAACCTGAGGCCTGTAAGTTTGTTGGACTGGCTGTGTTGTGGGAAACTATGCCACCAGTATTTTACATACCAGTAGGATCACCTATGATCCTACTGGTAGGACCCTAACATGGTAGGGTCAAAAACTTTTCATTTATTTTCACTCCATAGATCTATCTATTACTTTCCCCAAAACCATATTTCATGCCTGTAGACTATTCACCATGAGCTCAGGGCTAAGACTATACATAAACAGTAAGCTAGATCCAACCAAATCTGATCTACTCACACATTATCCCTGGTAATTAAAAGGAAATCATTATCACCCATTCACTGGAGTCTCTGCTGTTCATTTCTTACAAAAGAACCCATCCTAATTCAACCCTGCTTTATTCTTTTAACATCACAAGGTATTTCAAGGGCTGAGACTAGCTGAGAAAAGTGAATCTATATCATTTTAGACGTGCTTTGGGGCTTTTAGCACCTGCTCTGAGAAAAAATAAATTTGAAAAGTAAATATAGCAAAGTGTGACGGCAAGTTTCTTGCCCAATTTCTCACTGTAAAATCAGTCGGACCTGCTGACTGTCCCCGCTCACTGCCAAAAGAGCCCAAGACATGGCCCTCCTCAAGAAGTAGCCACATCTACATGTCAGCTTTATTATTTTCCCACATTAATGGTAAGCTTTATTATTTACCAGAGGATCTAGTTTCTTATTGTGTGCTTCTAGATGGAAAGAATGAAAAGATTCATTATGCCTTCCTTTTAAAACTCATTAACATTATCAGTATTTTTACCAGACCGTTAAGATTTTTTTTATAATGTTTATCTTGGTGATTTACTTATACCCTCAAAAGTCAGAGATAATAAAAATACTTTTAAGATGTCATTAACTTTAAAGAGCTACTGGAACAGTATTTTCAATTATGGTATTTCAAAGAGCAAATAATTAGAAAATCTGAGTTATATCAAAGCCTAAAAAGTTTACCCTTGTTTGGTAATCTAAGGGTTGGTTGTTTGAACACACCCAACAACAACGTGGAAGAAAGGCCTGGAAATCTTTGTCTGTAAAAGATTACAGCAAGAAAATCATATGTGGCAGTTCTACTATGTAACATTTGGGGTTACCATGAGTCAGAATCTTCTGGAAGGTAATGGCTTTGGGCTAAATCTAAATGAAAAGCTACTCAGGCAACAGAATCAACTATGATGATTTAATGTCATGGAAGAGTTTCATGATAGAGATATTATACCATAGTATGACTATGTTGTTGTTGTTAAGTGCCGTCGAGTCGATTCCGACCCATAGCGACCCTGTACAGGGTTTCCGAGGGTGTAAATCTTTACGGGAGTAGAAAGCCTCATCTTTCTCCCGCGGAGCGGCTGGTAGTTTC